GCTTTAAGGCCATCTAATAACAGTCCCCCAGCCTTTCATAGCTGGGATTTCTGTGTCAGTTTTGTTACTTTCACTTGGTCCTTGCTGTGTAATAGACAACAGAGTTTCTGTGTCAGTTTTGTTACTTTCACCTTTTCTCATGCTCTGTTTGGGAGCGCGTGATAAAGAGCGCGCTGGTTATTTCCCAGAAGGGGATGGGCAGTGCTGCTTCCTCAAGTACCTGTGACTCAAGCTGAAGTACAGACTGGACTCACCAGGGCTGCAGCAGGAGCAGGAAATAAAGCAGTGGAGGCGTTGCTGGTAATGTTACAGGGAATACCTGTGCTGGGTTGTGACTAATTGGTAATGATTGTCCTTGTGATCAGGTGGATGTACCAAGAGGGCTGAGTTTGGCCTAGTTAAGATAAACAGATTTTTTAAAATTTTTTTATTGTTTTTACTTTAAAAAGTCAGTGTAGAACAGGATTGATAATACCTAGGTATTTGTTAGGCTACATTGTAACAGCTGTCCAGCAGGTTGTGTGAATCTTCCTGTGTGCTTTCTCCCAGCTTCCATAGTGTGGGCTTTTGTCAGAGCCCCTGGTGAACACAAGCCTCACCTGGAGCCTCTGTCCTCACCCCTGGCCCATAGCCTGAAGCCCCCATGAACTGATGCAGATACAGAAGCAAGTGAGTGTTGCAGACTCTAGGCCAGTGGTCTCCAAGAGTTTTGGATTGCACACCCCGATCAGTGGAAGTGTTTGAGCATGCACCTCTAATACATCTACATTTATTTACAAATTACATGCATGAACTACTGAAGTTCTATTATTTTCTTCCTGCACTCCAGTGGATTGTCCTGCACACCTCCCACTTTGGGGACCACTGGTCTAAGCTACATAATTCTAATTCCACTCATTGTGTCAAGTTTTATTTTCAAGCTCTCATGGCTTAATATTATTTATATCCATTTCATACGTTGGCCATTGAGTTGGCCCACTGTACATTACAAACAGTGATGGAGGACAGAATTCGTATAACTTGTCAGCTGTTTTTTCAGGTCTTATATACAAGAAAAGCAGCAAACCTTTATACCATTTATGCTGTAGAAAACATGTTAGGAAAATTTCACAGCATAGTCGTGTGTGGGGTTGGAGCTGAGGCACACACCGAGGCAGCTAGGATGTGGAGCAGCACACAAAACCTGATGCCTTTGGTACCGTGGGAGGCTACTGATAAGAATGTTGAAAACCCATAACTAAGGAGCTTGGGCAAAACACAAAGTTATTAAGTAGATAAGCTGGAAACTGAAAGCAAAAATAACAAGGCCTAACCGCAACAATCAAGAGAAAATAACAGCTGCAGGGTCAGAATGACCTGGCAGACAGCTCGCAGGCTATAAATGTTTGCAAATTGTAGCAATAAAGGTCTTCAGTAGCAAGCAGCTCTGGAGTCCCTGGCTCAATACGCCACGGTCCTGCTTTTCTTAACACGCTTAGAAACGATCCTCTGTGTCAAGGTTATGCATTGCTGAAGTTGCCCTCTTTTCTGAAGAGACTGAACGAGTAGTTGCCTTTGAGTGTGCAAGGACACAGTCTGATGGTGCATCTCCTCCCCAGCTGTCCTCAAGTTAACAGGACACTAATCCTTATTGAAAATCTGCATCAGCTAAAAAAAGTCAAACCTGCAGTTAACTGATTATGCAGCTCTTGGGTATGTGTGGTGAAATGGGAAGAGAATTTAGTCTGAATAGGTGTGGTTGTGATCTTGATTGTTCTTTCACAGACCATACATCCCTGTGTGCACTGTTTAAATTATGTGTTGGTTCTGTGGTGTTTCCTGTGCAGCATCCTGTTAGTGCAGTGTGGGGACATTGAGATGGGGGCGATCTCTCTCTGCTTCACTGGCAGTTTTCAAGCGTGGAGCCCCTTAGGCTCTGAGTGCTGATCAGAGCAACTGTGGAGTGTAGTAAGTGCTGTGTACAATAGGTGTGTTCAGGGCTCTGGTGGTACATTCATCATCTGTAAAAGAACTTGGTAGTGGTTTTATGCAGATCAGCTCTTCAGCAAACCAGTGCTGGAAAAAAGTGACACCATTTTCATGTGTGTATAGAATTCTGCTGTTGATGACAAGAATGTTGTTAAAGCTTGCTAGGAAGTTGCACTTCTAGAGCGTACTGGTTGTGATTTTTGGTCCTTAGCAAAAATGCAGCTGTTCTCTTGGGTTTTGTTGCCCGTTGTGAGCTGGAAGGAGTTTCCAGTACATTGAATAGATTTTTCTTGTATCGTATTTGTGAAATGAGGAAAATTTTTTTCCTAATAAAGCCAACTGCATGTTCAGCTACAGGACTGAATAGAAAAGAATATGTATTGCCATTAAGATTTTCTCTCACTGGTCTTTTCATGCAGTTTATTTTTTGTCTGATCATTACATGCAGATTTTCAAGAATCTAGTGCACTTGCCACGTTTTTCTAATTTGAGTTAGTAGTTTTAATACCCACAGCGTACTGCTTGAACAAAGTTCTGTGGGGCCGCTTGTCACAGAGGGTATTTGGTTTAGTAAAGCAAAGACATTTATTTTATTTAAACAACCATGTCAGTATTAACACAGACACCTGGGATGGGATTTTCAAAAGTAGGCGTGCAGTGTGAAAACAAAGATGATGCTGACTTTCAATAGAGCTGATTTTTATTCTTAGTCAGCTAGGAGTCTTGGAAGCCCTACTCTTGAGGGATAAGTGTGCTGTTTAGCTGTTAGAGGAAGTAACAGCTTTCTGTAAGTAGTGCTAACGGTGCAGTTAAAGCACAATTCTAATCAGTTAATGCTAATCAGTTATTAATTTGTTCTTACTAATGCACATTTACATTTAAATTTTGTGACATCATAAATGTCATGTTATTTGCTTGGCATTAAATTGCAAGATTGGTGCTCATGCTGGTGGCTGTATGCCACAGGGAGCAGGTGTAATACTGGATCATGGGAGAAATTATCTTTAAGATGCTGTCATCTCTTGAATGCTGATCTGGTTAACATTTGAAGTACTTCTCTGGAGCTGTTCTTTGTTATCCTGCTTTCCCAGAGATGTGATACTGAAGAATCCTTACAGTCATGTATGGTTCTGCTTCACCCTTAACTGTTAAGCTAAAGCACAGCAGAATGAAGGAAAGAGATGAATGAGGCCATGCTATAAGTATGGAGAGCAGGGTACCCGCTGTTAGTCTAAAGTATAAGCCAGTTTCAGCATCACTGGGGTATAAAAAAAAATTCAGGAGAAACAAGAGAATTACAGGACAGGTGAGGTGGGAACGGATTTCTGGAGATCACCTCATCCAGTGTCCTGCTCACAGCAGGTTCATTTGGAGTGGGCTGCTCAGGGCTGTGGTCAAACTGAGTTCTGGGTGTCTCCCAACGATGAAGACTCCATAGTCTTGCTGGAAAACCTGTGCCAGTATTTGATTGCCCTCAGTTTAAAAAAAAAAAAAAAAGTTTTATGTTTAAATAGGTTGTTGGTTTCCCTTTAAGTTCCTTGCCCCTTGTTCATTTACTGGACACAACTGAGAAGTGTTTGGCTGAGTTTTCTGTAGCCCTTCTGCCAGGTATGCATACATACAGATAAGACTTCCCCCACAGATTTCTGTTCCTCAGGCACAACAGTCCTGGTGCTCTCAGCCTCTTGTATCACTGATGCTGTAGCAGATGTTCCAGTCCCTTCATTGTCTTAATCATTATGGAGATCAGGATGAGGGAGAGCCTGAAGTATGATTCACATGGATCTGGTCAGCAAGAGTAAGTTTCTATTTGGCATGAAGTAAGGGACAGCAAAATGAATTAAAGCCAAAATTATGTTAAATTAATAAATTTGAGTGATAAGCATTATAGTAGAATTTTAAGGGAAATTGAGGAAAAAAACAAGCATGGAGTGCACAGTGATAAATTTGATAGGATTAGAAGATAATATGAAGACAAGACTGGGTAACTAAATGGAATCCAGGGTGCCAAGAAGTTACCAGTGGATTAGATAGGATCTTTACAGAGACAATAAGGGAGGATAAGGTACTTCTGAGAGTTACTGAAAGGGAAAAGGGAGAAGGTACAATCTCAAGTGACATCATGAGAGTTAGAGTGAACAGCAGAACCATGAGATGCACAGAAGCTTTAAAGGAACAGCAATTGGAAGTAGGTGTTCTATACAGGCAGCACCTGACTGATTAAGGCAGAGCATAAGAGGATTGCTGGTCATCATATTGTGAGCCTAAAAATGCTCTGTACCCAATGAATGGATGCTTACAGTTTGTCTAGTGCAGATGAATTCCCAACCTGTTGTTAAATGGATTGTCAGAACTCCGTATTGTTAATGACAAGTTCATTTAAGTACTCTTCTGAGTATTATTGATGAGAAAATGGAAGTGGCCATGTTGTCACTAGCAATAGCTAAAGAAAAGTCTGCAAGAAAATAGTGTTGTTTTAGTTCTCTTTGATGTCTTGGCTATAGTTGTGGTTCTACCTTTTAATAGCACCATCAGATACCAACCTAAGTTTGTTTACCTTTTTGTCTGGCTGGTATTATAGCCACTAATTTGTAACAGTCGTGGTAGATTCTGTTGTGTTGGGTTATTCCCTCACTGGGATTAGGTGGGAGTAAATTCCTGTAGAAGTGTTTTAATTGGAGTCTTGTGATTGCATTTGGTGTTGATTAAAGTCATAGAGGTTCTGGTTAATCAGTCTGGTTAATCATTGGTCCTTCTCCCATTTAAAATTCTAAAAAAAAAAATGCTTAAATGAGAAAACATTGCATGAGAATTTTGTATAACATTACATGTGAGTGAATTTGATTTTGAAGTAAATCAATGGACCCCTGTAGAAGGTGCAGGTTTTTTTAACAGCTTTGCCAATAGTAGATGTCTGTAAACTTGATAAATTGTCTGGTAAAAAATACTGAGGTATTCTAAATGGGTTTTACTGTTGAAAGCAATATTTTGTCTGATATGTATCATCTTTGTTCTCTCCCCTTTTGTTCTAGTTGTCATGGATGATGATGACGATGAATCCTGTCTCCTGGATCTTATTGGGTAAGTTTTCCTTAAGCAAGTCTTTCAGAAAAGTAGTGAAAAATAATTGTGCAAAATCATCTTCTAGAAGGTGTTTCTATTGTCTCAAGACTAGGTGGCATGCAAATGAAGTGAGTAGCTGTGCTTCCCTTTCTCCCTGTGGTGCCTGTCACAGCACCTTCAATCCCAGTGTGTGCTAGCTGGCAGTCCACTTGCTGGGTGTTCTCCTCAAGAGAGCCTAAGGAATGAATACTCCTGGAGGTTGGATTCTTTCCTCAGCTACTGTTAGAACACGTTACTAGGGATGTTGTTACAATCTTCATTGAAAAGTTACCTTTTATTTTGATTAAAAAACCAAAGATCTCAATTTTTTGAGCAGTGGAACTACATACTTTAACTCTGTGCATGTCTTTTAAAGGGAAAAGTAAAATTATTTTTAATTCTAACTACTTAATTTGTACTAATAACATGCATTTGCATAAAAATGTTAGGAGAACTGGGTAACAATTCTATTTTTCTAAGTATTTAAGTAAAGAATTTATCAATGTTTTTCTCAAAGATACTTTGTTTTAAGAACATTGGGGCTTTTAAATGGTCCATTTTATTTACTTGGAGATCTATAATTCCATATAGGAATCTCAAAAAATTAATTAGGATAGCTGAAGCATGAGCAATACTTTTATGGCTTGTATATGTGACAGGTTACCTACCTTTGGCTAACATTCATGTCAGTATTCAAGAACAGATAGTATGCTATAATGCATTTAAAACATAAGAAAACTGAGTGCTTCTTACATGATACTTTGTGCTAACTGTGCCAGAATTTAGTATGACATCAGTCTTACAGCAGCTACTAAAAGATTGGTCTCCTCTTCATGCAAGAATTTTTTACTGTCTTAATAAATAGGCCTTGCATCTTTCTCAAAGATTTCAGTGAAACCACTGAGAGCTTTAACTTCAGAAAACAGTCTCACCACAGTGGCTGCTGTAATTTGGGGGTTACTCTGTGGATGCTGTAAGAAAAACATTGCCTGTAATGGCCCACAGTTATGTTCTGTGGGGTGGGCTCTGCAAAATTACTGACTGTAGCTGTATAGAACATCCTCCTTGGAAGATGATAATTGACTGCATGGGACAATTCAGTGCTGTGTCAAGAGCATGAATCAGAAGGATCCTGATACAAGTTCCTAGGTGGTCCAGAAAATGAAGTGCTCTTGATAAGGATGAGTGTTTGTGATTCCTGCTATGGCAGCAATTACTGTCTTGTGCATCTAGAAGAGTGGAAAACAGCATATTTATTTATTTATTTTACGTCTGATCTTTGATTTTGGTAAGTGCCTTCCTTACTAAAAATAATATTTAAGCTAATGAAGTATTCTTCATTTTTAATGGCATTTTTCGTGACTTAAAGTCAGGGAGTGTATTTAGGATTAATTGTCCTTGTTATTTTATTGATAAAGCTCGTAAGCACGATAGAGCCCTGTATGAGTTGATGAGTTCTGTTCTTGTTAACTCTTGAAATTTAGTGTAATCTAATATGAAAATTATGGTTTTGTTTCAAAGTATATGTAGCCACTTCTATGTTGTAAGTGTAATTGTACCATAAAGTTCCTGCCAACTTCTCTGTAACACATCTTTTGTAAACATATGAATGCAGTTTGTTTTTTAAATGAAAAAAACGAGGAATAGAGATGTATTTGTGCTTTTAGGAGAGTAATCTTAAACCTGCAAGATGTTTAACTTGTTCCCTCTTTATTTTCTAGGACGATGAAGAGAGAAGGAAATATGTTGGTTTTTTTTACATGAGAACATCCTGCTTCTCAAAAATGTTCCATTATTGTTAATCAATAAAGACATTTCAAAATCAGAAAGCTCCGTGTGATCTCGCTATTCATGCTAATACACATGTTGGGAATGCTGTAAAATTCTTGTATTAAAATAATCCACTATAACACAATCTTTTAGTGTTTTTTGCTTGGTCTGCATGTGCAGTTCACATTATTTCTGATTTGCTTGAATTGTCGACGCTTGTTCTGTCAGACCATTTTCATCTTGAGTTTTATTCAGTGATAGTGCTAAGTTAATGAAATGCACTGAAGTTGTATTTCATAATATTTAATTAGTTATTTCTGTGGTTGATTTTGGTTGAAAAACAAGCTCCTTTTTTCCTCCAAGTGAAGGGGACTGTTACTGTGGCAAGCATAAGCTTTCATTAACTTATGTTGAGTGGCAGAAAATTTGTGAAAAGATTCAGTTTTGTAAATGCCCTGTTGACATAGACACTGGCTATACAGGTGTTATAGTTTATTTCTGTAGAAGAGGTGGTGCCTGTTTTAGTTCTCATGTTATTTGGTGATAATATTTTCCTCAGTTTTTGTACTATGTGCTCTGATAAAACACTGTGTTTTAAGAGAACATGAGTAATAGCCTTGTAAAGGGAATTAAAGCAGAATGTAGCTAAAATTCTGTGAGGAACACAGTTTATTGTTTGGAATGCCTTGGTGCAATGATGGCAAATATCAACTTCTGAAAATTGTGCTGATAAAGACAGATCTTCAAATGGGATGAACTCTCAGATTTGTGTTAGAGTCAGTGAAAGAAATGTTTTTGCTATAAGCCTGGTTTATATAAATATAGCATCTGCCTTAGCTAAACTAGCCTCATTAGTAAAATAAGCTTTCTAAAAGTGGTAACATATTTTTTTTTTCCCCCCTCCCATCCCTCTTAAGGGACCCACAGGCGCTGAATTATTTTCTACATGGACCTAGTAGTAAATCTGTAAGTAGCACTCATATGTATCAGATATACATAAGCTTCACTGAGTGTATTATTTCTAAACATGATTTTTGTCTTTCATCAGAGCAATGAAGACTTGACTAATGCAGAGTATTCTGTAGCCAACTCAAATTCAATTTTCGCCAACTCCAATGTAAGTGGTGAGGAGATAAATGATGTGTTGAGATGGCATGCTTCTGTTATGGCTTTACTTGGCTTTTATAACACTGAATGAAGTAGATGTGGATTTTGACCTTATTCAAATTGTGAATGCTAACATAGAACCACCTTGTATTTAATATTTTAAAGTGTTTTGTTGGTTTCTTTTTGCATTGGTGGTAAGATACTGCACTGTTGGGACGTGTTTTGTAAATATGTAGACCAGCTTGCTGAGCAGTGAAAGTGCTCTCTAGTGTAACTCCAGTTAACTGGACTTGTAATTTTAATGAATGTAAATATAGTAGTGCTCAAGTGTAGACCTTAAAACTTCATGCATTTCCTGTGTATGTTTGGATGGTTTTGTTTCTTATTTCTAAGTAGAATCTGAGCTAGCAATAAATTAACAGATGTCCTTCAGACTGAATAGTTTGGGATGTTTCCTTCCTGTAACTTGAGTGTTAGAGAATTCACTTTAAATTTTTTAGGTGTTGCAAGTAGTGTGCAGTGTTCTTTTTTCACCAGGAGTATATTGCAGCCCTGGACTAAGTTTGACCCAGTGATGTTGTGGAATCCCAATCCTGGGAGATCAAGCAAAGGCTGATCTGCTGTAGAAGGTTGGACTAGATGAATTCAGAGATCCCTCCTGACCTGTGTTTCTTTGGTTTTATTGCTGTGGTTTTTCAAAAAGAAAAAGAATTCTTAATCCCACAGTTCAGTAATTTGAATACATAGAGTAGGGTTTCCTTCATAATTCTTCTTTCTGTTGTACTGTTATTTTGCCTGTTTGTCCTATGTTCCTAACAGTCACATGGCTATACTTGTAGGTGCATAGTGGACTTAAATAATTGGCATAAATAAAGACTTAAAGCTTTTTATATACGTGTAGAGAACAAATGACTTCTCTGTATTTGTGGTAGTGTGCTAGGAAGTGTTTGCCCTGTCCTTCCCCTTTCAATATCATGATTAAATGCTGTAGGAAAAAATGTTACGTGGCAGTTCTTTCTCCAGGTAATCTGGTTGGGTTAATGGAGAGTGAGGTACCAGCAGTAATAGGGTGTGCACACTTTTCAGCTCATCAGGAGCAGTGGCTTCAGCTTTCAGCTCACTGCTACCAGGCTAGCTAGGATCAGACAGCAGCTTCTTGTATGCAGCATGGCAGAGGTGGGTTCTGAGGATTCATCCTAAAATAATGAGATAGAGGGAATAAAGGGTGACATCTGTATTTATCATAGCCTAGACTTCCTAGTTGTTCTTTGTAGAGATTCTTCTGATAAGCACGAGTAGGTGGTGGGCAGGAGTTGGACGTGTATTTTGAGAAACGGGGTTTTTGGAGTAATTTTGAGAGGGAGTGGGAAACTCTGGGCAAGGTGGGATTGTTGCATAGGGAGTAGCAGTTGGAAGAAACAAAAATACTTAATGAAAGACAAAAGGACTTTGTGTTGCATAAGATTGGTGGGGTAGGTGATCAGAAGAGCAGGGATTTCCAGGGTGTGTTGTAGGATGGCTTACTTATTTCTGTTCTCCAGCACTTGTTCCTCTTGTGTTCTGTTCTCATCCTTTTGTACCTTTGTAAGGAATACTGATGCCATCTTCTCTTCCCTCTCTCCCTCATGTAAAAGCCCTGTGCTGACCTAAGTGAAGAACAACTTGGTTGCAAAGTTAGATTTTTATAGTGCATTGTGAGGGAACAAAGAGTTACCTAAAATACGAATATAAACTGTTTCACCGTCCCTGCTTGTAACATAAACATACTAGAAAAGTTAAAGGCTTCTGAGTTTTGTATTATTAAAGGCTTTGCAGACACTGAAAGTTCTGTCTTTGTATTCAGTAATAGCTACCATGAAGTAGGGTTGATTGCCTTGCTGGCCCAGCTGATGCCTTTTAGTGGCAGAATTTTACAGATTCAGTGTCAAGGGTTCAGTGCCTCAGCTGGTAAGCATGCTCAGCCAACACCTAGCACAGGATTAAGCTCCTGCTGACTTAAGGGCAGGAAGTCAGTGTCCACTCTTCCCCTAAACTCCCCTCTGAGTGTGTGTACCATCTCTAGTGATTCCAGATTGGTTTTCTTGGGTGGTCATCAGTCCTGTTACAATGCTTGTAAGAGGGTTCCTGAGCCATTGCCGTGTCACCTGGGTTCTACTCGGTGACTGCTTTCTCCTTTCTGTGCAGTGTAGTAGAACAGCTTAAGAGAGCAGAATATTCATGCAGCCAGAGAGAATAAAGCATTTGTTGGTAAGCAGATTCATGAAGTTGCAGAGGCACTACTGTCTTCTTGAAGTTAGTATGGTGTTCTGATTGGCCATTCTGAATCTGGGCAGCAGTGTTGTTGAGGTGCTAACTTGGTAGGTCTTTTGTTCCAGTTTATGCATGTAAAATTGGTTTTAGATGTTAAACAGTCCTGGGAGCAGGGAATAAAACTTGGGATTCTTTATTCCAGTGTGAGAGTTTCAAGCTATTAATCTTGATCTACTGTAATATTATTTATTATGACTGTTGCTGGAATAGCATTAATTGGAGCCCTCTAACTTAACACAGTTGTGAAAAGTTAGTCATTGGCACTGTAGACAAGTTGCAGCTGCAGTGGAGAGCTCTTCACAAGAGTCTGGCAGTTCTGAGTCCTAATAATGCCCTACTTGGTGACTCCTTTTTGCTCTGCCTGATGGTAGCTAGGTACAGTTGAGAACCTGATTTGTAATTTTAGGTGTTCATGAGGTGCAGACATTCAGACATTTAAGTACTATTTAATTCCTTCTGTTAACATAAATGTAAAAAAGTTCATTGTAATTTTATAATTGTATTTTGAAAACAGTTTATTGACTTTTAAGATCAATCTCTTAATATTTTAAAACATTACTGATGCTTCATAAAATACACAGACTGATTCAGAAACAGATTGGAGTAAAATTCTGAACAAATGTGCTTGGGGAACTGAAGTTAGGGTGGGGATGTTATTACAAGTAATTATGGCTTGCAGCATCTTCACACTGTTTATATGAGGTGAAAACAAACGTCTTATGACCTTCAAGGAGTGAGGACTCAGAGTATGAGTGTGACTGATATTTTCACACCCACATTTGGCTTTTATCCTGACCTAAAAAGAAAATGGATGTTGTACTTGAATGGTTCAGATATGATTTTGCAATTGAGAAAAGTGTACTCTAACAACTGTTGCAAGTATTTCTATGCATATTAATTTGTCTTTCCACCTGTGGAAACCTGATACTTGCATTGTCTAGAGTTTCTGGGTGTAACTTTGTTTTAGGAAAATACTGTCAAGTTGGCCAAAGTAGATTCTGATTTTCTGCATCACAGTACTTATGGATATAGATTTGAAGGAATTCTTTTCTTTCAAGGTGCCACTTAATATTTGCTGCAGTTTCAAAATCTGTAGTTCTCCCTAATCTTTTTGTTAGTGTAAACCATAAACTCTCTAGCATTATTTTACTTACTGCTTTTTTATGAAATTTTTCTAAACCTTACAAAATAGTTGCTAATTTACACTGATGGTAGAAATATTGGTAGAATTTTGGAGATGGGTCTCATTTGATAGGGGCAGTCAGTGAAAGAGCATCTTTTCCCTGCTGTTTCCCTGCTGCTACTGAAACCTTGCCCTAAATTGAGTTATGGTGTAGGTCTTTTCAATCCTTCTTTCTTTCATCCTTTTTTTCTGTGCAATGCTGAGCTTGAGGAAGGGAAGATGGTACTTCAAGAGCGTGTCACACCCTCTTGAAACAGTGCAGGTGCAGAGCTAAGTGCTGTGGAATTGGAGATTTGAGAATTGAGAGTAGTGTCTGCAGCAGTCTGTCATGAGGGCATGAGTGGGATGTGAGGCATGTGTTGATGCTTGCCTGCTGTATGGGATGACCATCACCTTACATCTGTACTATATGAAGAACGTGGTTTTGTAAAGAAAGTTAGGTTGCATGAATGAAAGCTTAATGGGGAAACGAGGTAGAGTTTGGAGTTTCTGAAAATGGTTTCTTTCTTGTTTTGTATTTCAGAACACTGATCCCAAGTCGTCTGTCAAAGGTGTAAGTGGTCAGCTTGGAGAGGGGCCTAGTGATGGGCTGCAGCTGTCCAGTAGCCTTCAGTTTCTTGAAGATGAACTTGGATCTTCCCCTTTACCTGATCTTACCGAGGATCAGCCTTTTGATATTCTTCAGAAGTCCTTGCAGGAGGCCAATATTACTGAACAGACTTTGGCAGAAGAGGCATATTTGGATGCCAGTGTAGGTTCTAGCCAACAGTTTGCACAAGCTCAGCTTCATCCTTCTTCATCAGCATCCTTTACTCAGGCTTCTAATGTTTCTAATTACTCAGGTCAGACGTTGCAGCCTATAGGAGTTACTCAAGTGGTACAGCAACCTGTTGGAGCATCTTTTGCAAGCAATACAGTTGGTGTGCAACATGGCTTTATGCAACATGTCGGAATTAGTGTTCCCAGCCAGCATTTGTCTAATAGCGGCCAGATTAGTGGTTCTGGGCAGATACAGCTGATTGGTTCCTTTAGTAATCAGCCTTCCATGATGACCATTAATAACCTTGATGGATCTCAGATAATACTGAAAGGCAATGGTCAGCAAACATCTGCAAACATGAGTAGTGGCCTCTTGGTTCATAGACAGACTCCAAATGGTAACTCACTGTTCGGTAACTCAAATTCAAGTCCAGTAGCACAACCTGTAACTGTTCCATTTAACAGCACAAATTTTCAGACATCGTTGCCTGTCCATAATATCATCATTCAAAGGGGTTTGGCACCAAACTCTAACAAAGTTCCCGTTAATATCCAACCAAAGCCTATCCAGATGGGTCAGCAGACTGCTTACAATGTGAATAACTTGGGAATACAGCAACATCACGTGCAGCAAGGGATTCCATTTGCTTCTGCAAACTCGCCTCAGAGTTCAGTAGTTGGTCCTCATATGTCTGTTAATATTGTTAATCAACAAAGTACAAGAAAATCGGTGACGCCTCAGGCAGTTAGCAATGCTGGAGGTAGTATTGTTATCCATTCTCCTATGGGACAGCCTCACACACCTCAAAACCAGTTTCTCATACCTACAAGTTTGTCTGTTAATTCTAATTCAGTTCATCATGTCCAGGCCATAAATGGACAGCTTCTTCAGACTCAGCCTTCCCAGCTGGTTCCTAGCCAAGTGTCTGCTGAGCATGTAATGCTCAACAGGAACTCTACAAACATGCTAAGAGCCAACCAGTCGTATTCAGGACAGATGTTGAATAATCAGAACACAGCTGTTCAGCTTGTTTCCGGCCAGACTTTCACAGCTCCTGGAAACCAAGTTATAGTAAATCATGGAGCTTCACAGATTGTTGGTGGGCAGGTGCCCCTGCAGCAGGCATCTCCAACGGTGCTGCATTTGTCACCCAGTCAAGCTAATGTTTCTCAAGGTAGATCGAGTTTTACTGCGATGTCGCCTGGGCAGTCTACAGTCTCAAACATGTCAGCTTCCAACCGATTCGCTGTTGCAAGTTCTTCTGGCTCAGTCCACCCTAGCTTGGGACCATCAGTTCAGTCTGTTGCATCGGGAGGAAGCTTCACTGGAGACCAGATAACACAGAACAGAACTCAGGCTCCCGTCAGTGCGTCTCATCGTCTTCCAGCATCCTCTTCCAAACCTGTCAGCACCTTTAGTCACACGTCAGTTGGAGTAACACAGCAACAATTTGCCTTTGGTCAGGTATGAAAGCTGCTTGAGAACGTGGCCAAAGAAGTGCTTATAGTGTTAATACAGAGAAGGTTAATTTTGCAAGTTGATATTTTTACAAGTACTGTAGAACTGCTGAAAATTACTGTAACCCAGACATATCATTTGACTCAGTATTTTCTAAAGTCTGTCACTGCCTGAATGAGTGTCACTTCATTAATTTTGTTAGTGATTCATAGCAGTACTTTCAGAACTGCTTAGCACTGATCTATTTCTGCTCCCATTTAAAGGAATGAAGGTTGTAAGATCGTACAACTATAACCTCTCCTGAAGATCTTACTATAAAGCTAGATATAAAAGCTTGGGTACATTCTTGGCACTTAAAAGTCTTCTGACTTCACTAAAACTATGCATGTGTTTTCTGGGTTTGACCTATTCATGCTAGAGATGAAAAGGTTTCTTGGGTTTCTCTTTGTTATCTACCATGCTGACATTGCCCACAGTAGTTCTGTGTGTCTGGAGCAGTTAGAAGCTTTCAAATTTGAAGCAATGGCAAGGTAAGAGGTGTTTCTTGAAATACTTACAGGGAAATACCTTTTAAAGCAGTTTATAAAAGCATAACATTTAAAAAATAGTTTCTCTAAGAAGAGGTCTACTTGTAATAATTGTTTGTGGTTTTTTTTTTTTTCTGAATTTACTTTTAAGGTAAAAACTAGTCTTTTGGTTCAGTTGATGCAGCTGCAGTATGTATTCAACTTGAGTTTGTTTGCTTTCCTAAGTGAACTTTGAAACTCTGCCAATGTTTAACTCGGTGACTCGTCCATGTCTGTCCTTTTTTTGCTTTTATTTCCTGTTAAATATGTAAAATACTGATAATAACTATCTCAGAATACATTTGCACTAATTTCTCGTTTCTAAAATGTTTGTTGGATTTTTTTTTCCAAGACCAAAATGGGCAATTAAATAACATATCTTGGAAAATGTGCATTTAGAAAAGAAGGGTAAATGTGTTGTAAAATGACATATATAGTCTTTGCCAAAACTGCTACCACAGGTTGTGATATTTTGTTTGCAGATGAGTAATTTGAGGCCTGTCTGACTTTCTCTTGATGTATCTACATCTTCCTATTTGTAGGGTATGTGCTGGGTCAGTGAGTTTCAGCAGTTATAAAAGCATAATATTTCTTACTGCTGTAAAAGATCATTTGGTTTTGTGCTGAAATTTCAGAGCTGAAAATGGGAACTACAGAGAACAAACTCTGCTGTTTACCAGAATCTTTTTAGCTTGTTTGCACATGCATTTTAAATATTGTACAGTGTTGCAGAGTATATTATCATTCAGTCACTGAACACTGGACAGTTTGTTCCTCTGTGTGCAGAGTTTTTTTTGTTGTGAAGACAGTTTCTTTAGTCATCTTGCAGTTTTCAGACTCTCAAAATCTGAGCTCTCTGAGGGCAACTTGTAGTGGGAAATTATGGGTCTTCTAGAATATAACTGGTGAATATTTGTACTGCTAGTGTCATTTTTATGCCTCCATGATTTACTTCATAAAATTGTTGAACTTAGGAAGAACTGAGAGGTCTGAATTTTTGCCACTTAGGAGTTCAAGGTTGAAAAAGAATGTGTAGAGCTGAATTTTAGTTGCTTTTTTTGCTTTTTTCCTCTGTTACAGTTTTCAGTTTAAATATTTGACTGTTGTGTTTTTGTTTTGTTTGTTTTGTTTTGTTTTTTTTTTTTAATATATATGGCACAGAAAAAAACTGTGAACCAGACGTCACCAGTTTCTGCATCAAAGACACAGGATAATTTGAGACAGCCTCAGCTAACAAGTCTTCTGGGCAACACACTATCAGGTCAACTAAGGTCTTTTTAAAAAATTTTCTTAATTTTCTCCAGCCATAGAAATTGGTTCTTTGATGTGGCAGACCTGCATTGATGGCTTATGCTGATAGGGTCCAAAAGATTATCAGAATTTTATTTTTAGAAGAATGGAAATTAAATTTTTCAGTACTGAGTGTGTGGTATTGTTTCTTCCAACCAGAGCACTTAATTTTGTAGAGTGAGAAGTTGAATCTCCATAAATAAGCAATTATATTTCTCCCCTCTACAGATTCCAAAATTGTACCTTCTTTCATTTTTCTTTTTCTTTTTTTTTTCAGCCTAGGGAAATAGAAATAACTCATTTTCAAAATATAGGCATCTGTTAAAAATTCTGTGAAACTTGTGCTGGCTGCTTTGGAGAGGAAAGAAAAATAGTGATTACAAGGTTGTGTGCAGGCTGTCATCACTCGATTTGGTTCTGAGCCTGTCACTTTCAGTTAGAGCAGTTAATGGATTGTCTGTGGCAAAATACTGGCCTTTTCAAGCAGCACAGTGTGGCTGAAAGAACAAAACCAATATATTCAAACCAAACAGAAAAACGCAGTAGCCTTTGTGTTATCTTTGTATATAAGTAACCCTTTTGAACAAGGTCCCAAAATCTCCCTGCTTTTTATTCCCCCCCCCCCCCCCCATGTACTATTATGTGAAAGCTGTCCAGGCAGTTCTCTACAGTCATCACAGTATGATTGTTTTGTTTTGCCAAAAAAAAAAGAATAAATTCTTATTTGTGATGGTTGTAATGTAGCATGGCTGATAAGATGGGATTTGAATTTGTAAGCAAGGTGATTGGAGGAAATCTGCCCATCTAGAAAATCTAGGACAAAATAGTTATTATGGCTGCTGTATAAATACTTTCAGGTTCTCTAGAAAAATTTGGTTTATGTGCTTGAGGGAGGGTTAGTCTTGAAAAGCTTGATAAAAGTGTACTGAGTGATTTTCAATAAATTGTTGGGAAACGATACTTGGGGTACTTGAATGTCTTCTTATGTTGCCATACTATTGGAGATGATTTATATATGAAGATTTTTGCAGTCAGCTGCACAAAATATGAGACCTGTTTATTTTTTATGAGTCAGTTTCCCCACTTGGGTAGTTGCACTAGTGCTTTTTATCATATAAGCCACATACCATTGTCCTAAAAGCTAAAAATAAAAGTAAAATGATCAGGATGGGTACATGAAATTGTTTTGATCTTGCTTAGGATGACAAAGTCTTTTTAATGTGTTTTTTATAGGGCAGGACTCTGGAGGAAAAATCATACAGCAATCTCTAGGAACAGCACAGCCACAAGAAAAAGTATTAGGATCATCATCAGTTCAACAAAGTATACAGGTAGAGAGCACTCTTATTTATATTTTCCCCTTTCCCTTGAAATTTCAATGAAGTTAGCAATGTTTCAGTGTGATAATCTAAGTCCTTGCAGGTTTTTTTTAGATTGTATGAAGTCACTCAAGCTTGTCAAATTCTATCTTGACATAATAAACGTGGAGTATTTTGCAGATTGATATTCTGAATGCTGCTCTGAGATTTAATTCAGTCAGTGGGGTCTGACTATACTGTTCCCTGAAGGTAATTTCCTGTGACATGGCAATTCTTCACAGAGCTGGACACAAGTTGGACCTGCTGGTATCATTACTTCTTAGAAAGTCAGCTGTTCTCTAGCTGACCAGGAGGGGATGGCTTGTGAGGAGTAGCAGAGACATTCCATCTGCTCTTTGTTTTATTCTTTACTGCATTGCTGCCTTTTTTTTTTTTAAGGAAAAAAAAAAGAAATTCTCCTGTATATCACAGCTATGTACAAAAACTTCACACTGCATCTAGTGTTTGAGGCTGAAAGGGGAAGCCAGTTTTTAATTTTTTTTTTTTTTTTGAGAGGTAATACAGGAACTTCTGGAGGGAGGAGACAGTTGTTACATTTGTGGACTGAGTAGCTGAGGGCTGGAGAGGGGGCTTTAACAGAGGCTTGGAAGTATGGGCTTCGTTGTGGATGTCACTAAACTACAAAATCACAGAAGAAAGCAAGGGAGGAGCTGATTTAGAATTTTGCTTTGTTACTATAAACGTATTTGTCAGTTTATTATGACATTAATATTTTTCCCTGTCTTACTGATGTGCAAGTAGAGCAGAAGATAGAGTAGTGCTGAGTTATGAGTTCAGCCTGTTTTTTTCTGTTATTGTTCAGATGTTCATTCTCCTGAGGTAGTCAATAGTTTTTATGCCATGAAACTAGAGGCCTTTAGCCAGCAAGTACCGTTACAGTGTGCCTGCTTCCTGCTGCTCCTGCTTTGCTAAGGATGCTCTGTACCATGCACTTCTTTGTTCCTTCTAACCACATAGTTCAAAAGAGCTTTCATGCAGTCTTCTTTTAAGTCAGAAGTAGCTTCTGCTCTGTGACCAATTTCATTAGTAAGATTAGTTGACTAAGAAAACCCAACAACTTCATATTAAACAAAGACTTTTTGATCTAGGATGGCTTCTTTGTGAGAATACTTGGATTGTAGTAATGCCTCTTATATAAGTAGGGACATGGGCATTTACCACTTGGAGAGCCTCACATTTTAGGATGTTATTCCCTTGAAAAACTTTGGCTTCATTAAGTGTCTGAGGAAAGGAGAAGATAATGTAGATCTACCTTATGGGTATTACTATAACATTAACACTGAAACAAAATTCCTGGAACCACTTTCACCCCCTACCCAGCCACCGTGGCTTTTGAGAATTTAGGTACACAACCTTAGTCTGCTTTACTCACAGATACTTTGATCCACCAAGGTCAGGCAAGATGACATTAGCTAAATGAAGAGATGGTTCTTCAGAGCAGATTTCTTTGGAAAAGTTTTTGCTTGTACAATTTCTTCTGTTCACCTGCTAAATTTGCTAACCAACCTTTTTACTAATGAGACGTGTATATGTACTACAGTGGAATTTGCCTACAAATAACATTTCAGACTGTTGGTTTATGTAGGAGAGATGACTACCCATTTTCACTGATACTGTGCCCCCCATGAAAACAGGAGATAATTGAAAGTGTTTATACTTATGTGGTGGTTACACTTGGTGTTGGTGATATACTTAAGTAGCAGAAATAAATGCTGAAATTAGGCTCTGCAAATGAGTGGATGTATTGTAATTTGCCTTTTATTTTGAACCTAGGTGGATGGCCATTTAGTTGGACAGAAAAGGCCTGCTGCTAAGCAATTAACTAAAGGAGCTTTGTAAGTTATGTTTCTGTAATATTCTTGCAGATTTTTCCTCTCACCTTCATTTCTTTTTGTTTTTTGTCAATGTGTAAACTTCTGTTAGAGTATGTTAACTGTAAGTCATTAATTTTGCTTGTAGTATTCTACAGCAGCTACAGAAGGATCAGATGCATGCTGTGACACCAGATAAGAGTCGGTTCAGATCGTTAAGTGATGCAGTTCAGAGACTCCTTTCATACCATGTGTGCCAGGGATCACTGCCAACAGAGGAAGACCTAAGAAAAGGTAATTTTCTTTTTAAAAGCTGGCAGTGAGTTTATAATCACTGTGTTGAGAGAATTCTTTGTGTAAGTAGAGCAATAAGAATGAGAACATTTTAAAATTTGTAAAGGTTGCTGAAGAACAGTATCTGAGAGCATACTCTTGTCTTTCTAGTGGACAATGAATTTGAGTCGGTAGCTACACAGCTTCTGAAGAGGACACAGGCTATGCTGAACAAATACAGATGTTTACTTATAGAAGATGCAATGGTAAGGTTTATAACCCAGGTACACTTGGTGTTTCTAGGCTGTGATTCAATTTGTTAAGAGAGAGAGCTTCGGGAAGGTGATAGCTGGCATTACAATTCATTGTGTTTAGAGCATTTATCACCTTCTGAAGGGGATAAAATATATACACAAAGTTTTTAGATATATATATATATGTAGAGAGAGAAAGATGGATAGTGTACTTGTTATTACACCAGCAATCTTGGTGGCTACAAGTCTATGCACATGTCTTAAAGTCGGTGAAATGGGTTGAGTTTCTATTTCACATACTCCCTAAGTAAGGGTGCTGTTTTATAATGGTTCCATAGATCTTGAAAACACATGAACTTTGCTCCATGCTTATACTTTGCTCTCAAGCTGAACAGGTTGTGGTAGTAACGTGGGTGATTTCTGTGTACTTCTGTGGGTGGTAGAGCCTGAAAGAATGCTGCAAATCTCCATTCCGAGGCCTCCATGGTATTATTATAATTGGAGCCAAATCATATTCCAATTGAGGAAATCACTACTTTTCCATAGAAGCTGGGTGGAGCCCATTGTGTTCATCCAAAATGCTTCTGATGCAAGTGCTTTCACAATCCTAGGCGTGAGGTAAAGAAAAAAACTGACAAAGTTACTTTAAGAATGTATTTTACATGGATCAAGAAATGTCATTGTGGCTTCAGACATGTGTCCTGGTTCCGTGTAAAAAGGGGTTCAGGGCAGGACCCCCACGGAACAGAACTATGTACTCACCTCTCCCCCCCTGAGAGAGAGAGAGACACTTTTAAAAAAAATGAAGTATATTGTTCAACAAGGAACAGAAAACGAAAAAGGGAGGTAAGGAAAATAATATATACAAAGATTAGGGGAATAATACAAAAGATAAAATATACAAAACCCTCAGAAATGGTTCCAGGGTCCCACGGAGTGAAAGGACAACTTTCCTCTCTGAGCTCCAAGGCAGGAGTGAAATTAGAACCCACTCCCTGCCTCTTATCAGAGTGTGTGTGGGAAGGGGAGGGAATACAATGGTTTCACACCCACCTGGGGTCCTCCCAGTTGCTGGAAGGTCACGACCCCATTCCAAGCCTCAAACCACAACAACATGCTAGGTTTCAAGCCTGGAGAAGTTTTTAGTTAGAGTATAACAGACACTTAAATAATTTTGCTTTAGAGACGGGAATACATAAGTCTTCGAATTAATATGATTTTGGAATCTATCTGTCCCATTAAAAAGGTATTAATGATCGTTTATTTGCAAGTAGTTGCAGGTGCAGAGCAGGGGTGGAGGCTAAAATCTGTTCTTTCATCATCTAGTATGTTCTGAGGTAAATCCTGCTCAGTCATTTTTGAAGAGTTTGTTTCGACACAGTGTTGACGTTTGGAACTACTTGTCTGTGTTGTGACGTAACAGCCAGGGAGCTTTCTTCTGTGATGGATAGATCCACCTGGCTTGAAGGCAACATCAGCAAAATGCAACTCAGCACCAACTAGTTAGAAGGATAGGAGAGAAGTGCAGGGAAGGAACAAGATGATAGGGTGGCTCCATTTCAAGATTTTTGCTGGTTCTCTTTCTAAAAGGGAAAGTTACTGTATAATGTCAAAAAATGTAGTGTACAGTAGTAAATGTCCTCGGACCTGCAAAGGTACAGTTCTTGCAATTGGGATAGTAATTCCTATTTAAACATCTTCAACAAATAAAATGAACCATAAAATATGAATAATATTTTATGGTGAGTTTCAGTAAGGGTTGGGGTCACACTGAAGATCGTTGAGAACTTGTCAGCATTCTCCTCAAACACCTAGTGAAAGAATGCAAGACGTCGTTTTTCTCTGAAGAGTAACTAAGCTGTAAATGTTTTGATTTGGTCCCAGCATATGAGTGACTACAGACATGGTGGTTGTTTCTTTTTTTTACCTCTTCTGTAGCGGATAAACCCCTCTGCAGAGATGGTTATGATTGACAGGATGTTTAACCAGGAAGAAAGGGCATCTCTGACCCGGGATAAGCGTCTTGCACTTGTGGATCCTGGTAAGTAATGGTTAACTTCAGAATCTTACAAAAGCAGTTTAAGTATGAACTGTTTAAAAATAGTTGTGGAGACAAGTGAGGCACTGATTGCTAGGGGTTCCAGTAATGGAAATACTGAATAAGCATCTGCAAAGTTAAAGTTTACTAGCTCCCAAATTCAACAGTATAGAGACACTGTAAGGTTGAAGGCAGTTATTTGGGGGAAAAGAAACATGTTTGGCCTGTTTGGCAGAGAAGTATTTCTGAGTTTCTTCTGACAACAGTCATGACTTCTGCACGGTCTCAGTTCTAGTCAGGGAGAATCTGTGAGTTTGCTGGCAGCCAGAAGGAATGCTGCTGTATGAAGCATGAGTAGTCCTCTTTGTCTTAATGAAGTGTGGCTTTTGGAGTGTCACGGTCACTTAAATGGCCACATCTTTAACCAGGCTCTTGCCAAATGTACCAACTAGAATCCCATTATTTGTGTAAGGTAGCAGTAGCTGTTTATTTAAATGTTCTGCATATTCTGTGTGTTTTAAAAGCTATTCAGAGCAAGTATTGAAGAAGGTATTAGTTTTCCAGGTACCATATTTGAGTATTTAGAATGCTGGGAAGCACCCTTAGTCTGGTTTTACAGTGCATCTGTGTGCATAGTATGCTGATTAATTTGGTGATAATCTCCTGCACTGGATGCAGCAGAACACTTAAGCACATGTACATCTCTTTAAAACATGAATCTGTAGGCTGTGGATGTTAACTTGAATTTTAATACTCAAACTACATTTGAGTATCTGTTATTTTGATGTACAGGTAATGTAAGTAAAATGTTTCTACTTGATTTTCAGATGGTTATCAGACCGATTTTTGTTGTTCTGCCAAACAATTTGATAAAATAGCTGAAGAAGCACAGTGCAGCAAAAGTGACCACCAGTCTAGCAAAACATTACCTTCTCGAAGTCAGACTACCAAAACCCAAGCCAGAGACCGACCAAAATCCAGCTCAGCAGAGTCCACCAATCACAGTAAACTTCCTCCAGTGCCTAACAACGTTCTGACACCACAAGAAAGAATAACTTCTGCTAAAAAATCAGAGAGCCTCACTAAAGCTTTAAAGTTTGAAAAAGCTAATTGTTCTTCTGAGAGCCAATACATGGCTCTTTCTGAAGAAAAGGTGGCTGGGAAAGATCTTGCCAAGTCCACTGAGAATTCCTCGAGTTCTGAAGACTTGTCAAAAACTGTGTCAAGAGGCAGTCATGGATCACAAAATAAAATATCAAGGAACACAGTTCAATCTTTCTCAAAGGTAACGTGTAATAATTCCCTCCAAGACAAAACTCTGAGGAGCTCTCCAAAGAATGAGGTTTTACATCCTGATAACAGGAAAGGCTCTGGCGAACCCCAGCAAGACTTACTGCTCAGTAAGAGTTTAGAAACTACATTTAAAAACATTTTGGAACTTAAAAAAGCTGGGAGACAGCCTCAAAACGAGGCAACAAGTAGTGGCTCGGTTGAATTGGAATTTCCTAATTTTTCACCTATGGCTTCACAGGAAAACTGCCTGGAAAAATTTATTCCAGACCACAGTGAAGGTGTTGTAGAAACTGACTCTATTTTAGAAGCAGCTGTAAATAGTATCTTAGAGTGTTAATAGTTACAGTACCATGGAGAAGTTACGTTTCTCTTAGCAGAAGCAAATGTGAATGACACCACAAGTACAGCCTGACATGCATTTAAGGTTAACCTTTCTAAACTAGATTCTGTTCTGTGTTTGAGAGCAATACTCATTGTGGTTACAGTGAGATACCCAAGTAAAGTTAATCCTTGTTAGAATGCAGTCTGTTAGGGCCTTACTATTTCAAGTATTATTACGATAGTGCTTTTGATCATTGTGCAGTACTGCAGCGTGACAAGGTTGCAGGTCATTAGGCCCTATGTAATATGGTAATATACTGACAATCACAGTCATTTGAAAGCATATATTTATTGAGAAGATGTTTTTAAAAAGTGATGGAAGCAACAATTCTCCCTTACCCTTCTCTTCCACACATCATCGAATATTTAGTTTTTCTGGAAAACCCACTGTACCTCTATTCAGAAGTGATTATTTGCTTTGTTAATGAATCTGTGTTCTAGGATTCTGAAGTTGGAAGGATATCATCATTTTGTTTACAAGGCTTCATAATTTAAACTTAAAGTGCTTTTCTGTTGCTTTCTGAGCAGAAACTAGTACGTGATGATATATTTGTAGTGGGTAACTTTAGTCTGTGGGATGATATTATATGATCTTAGTCACAGTGGCATGATATGAACTAATAAATGCTTGACTAAGGAAGGTAGAATGGAAGCCAGTAAATGGCAAAGTGTACAGGATGAGGCCATGATAGAGCCATGAATTTATATATATAATACATATGTATGTTAACTCTTGAGGAAAAGATTTTGCATTTTATAATGGGATGTAGTCAGCCTTGAGTCTTTCTGAAGTGGTATAAATGTTTGTTTTTTTTTTTTTTAAT